AATCAATCCTCATATCTTACCTGCAAAAGGCCTGCCAAAAGCAGCAATCTTACCTGCAAAAGGCCTGCAAATTTAACTACTCCCCAGCCAAGTCTGGCAATATCAGGCTCAACCAAGCTCATCTGGTAAATATCCACTGCCAGAAACCTCTGAACCTGACCTCCATCTTTCGTAATCACTGTACAAGCAATTAGATCACTGTTATCTAGGAAGAAATAAAAAGGAAAATAAACAAGATGGATATATTGCTCATTTTGGTCAGCATTTTGATGCATTAGAAATTAATGGCATACTTGACACGTATCCAAAAATTACTTGTTTCTACTTCATATCCCACATTTCCTTATTATGCTAATTTACACATAAATCCTGTTTTAAAACAGTATGATGGCTTATTTTAAGTAAATGCTCTGAAGACCTTGTGCATTATATTGCAGTTCAGGTTAAAGAACTACGTTTATTGTTATATTCACTACATTTGTATATACATAGCATCACCTGATTTCAGGGCTAAATTTCCACCAAATAGCATCAATTTATTGTATTAGAATACGGGTCTTGAAGAACCTCCAGGGTCAGACTCCAGTCTCCTCTTATTGCCTGCAACTTTTGCAGGTGTTTGCTCCCACTACCCCTACTGGAAGACTGTTTCAGAAACTTATTGCTCTCAAAGACAGAAAACACTTAGTTTCCAAATGAAATTTTCTTTCCTCTCCCATCTTTACTAAGAATGCTGCCTTGTGGCACCACATTAAATACTTTACAGAAGGCCAAATAGATGTGTTCTACTACATTTTCCTTGTCTGGAAAACCTGTTATTTTGAAGAGAAAGCTATCAAAATTATAGCATGATATGCCTTTGGTAAAAACTTTTTATTCTGTTTTCCGCCTTTCTCTATTTCTCTAATGATTCTTTCCTTCTGATTTGTTTTAAAACCTTGCATATGTTGCTGAGATACTACTAACCTGATATTTTTAATGAGCCAGATAAGTCCCCATCAGCTTTACTCCAGTTATATCACTCTCACTTTGATAACCTTATTAAAGATCTCTGCTACTGAAGTTGCTATTTCTAGTGAAACAGGGATAAAACATTCCTCACTCACTCCCAGATCTGACTTTATCAATAGCATTAAGTCTGAGCTCTACTTCCACCTCAGACATTATTTCCATATGCTCATTCAACTGTCATTTTTTCCTTCAGGCCTGCTGATGCAGTGATGAACTTAATTTACTTTTGGAATGTTATATTTACTCAAATTATCACTTACTAGTCCTCCCTAGCCCCCAGTCACTTCTCAAAATAGTAGACCATGCTAAAGGGTGTCCATCAGTTGCTGGATGGTCTATCTTATAGAGGTTAGCAATTTTTCTAATTAATATCCTTATTACGTCTTAAAGTCCCACCACCAGATATATAGGTCAAATATACTGAAATGTGTTTGATAGTGATAGGAGTTACAGTAAGATAAACATCTTTTATCGTTAGAAACAGACTTTATTCAAACATTCTCATCTATCTAAAAGGAACTACTACAATTTGAAGTGTTAGTTATTTGCTTCATAGTTGGTAGGGTCAGAAGGGACCTGAGCAGATCATCAACTCCGACCCCCTGCCATGGGCAGGAAAGGATGCTGGGGTCAAACAATTCTGGCAAGGTGTCTATCTAGCCTCCTTTTGGAGACCCCCAGGGTAGGAGTGAGCACTACTTCCCTTGGAAGTTGGTTCCAGATCCTAGCCGCCCTGACAGTGAAGTAGTGCCTCCTGATATCTAGCCTGAATCTACTCTCAGTCAACTTATGGCCGTTATTCCTTGTTACTCCCGGTAGCGCTCGGGGCAACAGGGACTCTCCCACAGCCTGCCGGTCCCCCTTGGCCAGTTTGTAGATGGCCACCAGATCCCCTCTCAGCCTTCTCTTTAGAGGCTGAACAGGTTCAGGTCCCGTAGCCTCCGCTTGTACGGCCTGCTTTACTGCCCCTTGACCATGTAAGTGGTCCTCCTTTGGACCCTCTCAATGCTGTCCACATCCCTCCTGAAGTGCGGCACCCAGAACTGGACACAGTACTCCAGCTGTGGCCTGACCAGTGCCACATAGAAGGGGAGGATCATCTCCTTGGACCTGCTCGTGATGCATCTGTGGATGCATGACAAGTCCAGGTGCAGTACCTTGCACTTGTCAGTATTGAATCCCATCCTGTTCTCATCCACCCACCCCTGTAACCTGTCTAGATCTAGTTGCAGCCTGTCCCTCTCCTTCAGCGTGCCCATTTTTCCCCACATCTTAGGGTCATCCGTGAATTTGAACACCTCACAGCTATTTGTGGAAAACTACTTAGTATTGATCATTGCTGCAAATGCAATTGATCTAAAATGCAATATGCTATTTTATTTATAGATATTAATTTATAAAAGACTTTAAAAATCCTTACTATTAATACGTAAATTTAGTTGCATCTCTTAAGTGTTCAAAGACTGAAAAATACTTGACTTAATATTAGTTGTCTCAACCTAGCCTCTCAAGTTAAATACAGTTTCTTTTCATGGAATACACCAACAGCATCAGAAATACTGGCCAAATGACCAGAGCTGAAGGTGCAGAGTACAGATTACTGCAGTATAAAGATAAATGTCTGATGTGAATAAATACATTGAATGCACGATTTAAAGCTGTATTACAGAACAAAAGCAACTGTGGCATCAACAATCAGATGTGAATACAGAAGCTATGTCACTACAAGAGCACATAGAAAATACATTTTTCAAGAGATCTAAAAGTCTTTTAGGAAACTAAGTTACTAGGTCTCATTTTAAAAAGCGTGCAAGTCATTTCTGAGAGCTTGCCCTAACAAAATTTCATGAATGATTCAAAATGCATTTATGCCCTATAAACTCAACAATATTGATGCAAGGTGTCAATGGGGTAAATTTAAGCAGGCTCTAACTCTTGCGGTTGACAGCCACATAACTTAGAGCATTTGCAAAATATTTTATTCTTCTATCAGAGGACTACGTCTGTATGTAAAGTAAAAGTTTGACTCTTCTCCACTAAGTTTTCCTCAACATACTTTAGATTTCCATCAATCTGGCAATGTGCTCAACTTCTGAAAACTTCGTCAAGTAGATTTGGAATAAACAATGTATCTATCACTACAAAAAGTCCATTTATTTTCACTGATTTATTATGAACGCTTCTGTTACCAGCCCCTGAACAGATCTCCAGTAGGGCTGTGCAAAATTTCGCCACCTGTTTTGTTTCTATGCTGTTTCTGCCCATTTCGAGGCTGAAACAGCAAAATTGAAACGGAACAGATATGGTCGAAATAGCCTCGAAATGAAACTAGGCAAGTCGAAACGTTTTGCCATTTTGACACTGTTTTGTCCATAGGCTATAATGGGGAAGGGTGAAACAGCCTGTAACTTTGTTACTTCTGGCCAGATTTGGATGAAACTTGGAGGAATGATAGCCCCTTCTGCGGGCATGAAGCATGCCAAGTTTCAAGAAGATAGGTGTAGGGTGTTTGGGAAAGCTGCACCCCAAAATCTTGAAAGTAAAACTCATGTCACGTATGTGTGTTAAGCCACAGTGGGGTCAAAACTGCAGGCATGCTAGCCCCTGCTGAGGCCATGAAGCCTGCCATCTTTCAAGGAGATGGGTGCAGGGGCTTCTGGGTTCTGGGGCCCTGCACCCCTAGCTGCTCACAGGCAAAACTCATGACACTGGTACTTGTGCAACTGCTGCATCTCATCAGGCAGCAGGATTGAAGATCCCCCATCACTTGCCACCAAGACCTGGGGGCAATAATTGACCACAGTATGAACATGAGCCAGCACTGCGATGCTGTAGCCAGCACGGCCAACAATACACTGGTATGTATCAATTGATGCATCTCCAGAAAAAACATTGCACAGAAGTAATTCTCCTGCTCTACTCGGCACTGGTGAGACTGCAGCTGGTGTACTGCGTCCAACTCTGGGCTCCGCACCTTAACAAGGGACGTGGTAAAGCTTGAGAGTGTCCAGAGAAGGGCTATCCATATGATCAGAGACTTGCACAGCAAGCCATATGAGGAAAGGCTAAGGGACCTGGGATTCTTCAGCCTGAAAAAGAGAAGGCTGAGCGGGGACTTGGTAGCAGCTTACTGCTACATCAGAAGCATACATCTAGGGCTCGGTGAATAACTGTTCACCAGGGCACCCTTGGGGAAAACTAGGAGTAATGGTCATAGTCTGGACACCCTAATTGTGAAGTAGTTTTTCCTAATGTTGAGCCTGAAATGATCTTCCAGGAGTTTGTGACCATGACTCCTAGTTTTCCCTAAATGGTTTCCCACTTAAGTCACTTAAGCTCTGCTTCAAGACAGGATTCCTGAACCTGCTTGGCTACAAAAGTCTTTTTGCTATTAGCACCCTCTGTTTTCTGCCTACTTTCCATTAGTGCTTCTCCATAAGCCCAGTTAATGGCCACACAGACTCTAGTTTGTCCAGATGGTAAAGAATGAAACCGTATGTCTCTGCCTATAACCACCAAAGTAATATAAATATTAAATTTCCTGTTGCTGCAATTTTATAGTAAAAAAAAAATCTTACCGGAAAGGATAGATGTCAAGCATGTAAATGCAAGAGTAAAGGTAAAACAGAAAGAAAAATCTACATTGTTCCTTATAAGAAATGGTTTCATTTTTAGAGTTAAGACCAAAAGGTACATAACTGTAAAAGATATTCAAGCAACAGAAAGGAAAGCTACACTATTTAGGGAACTGTCATAGAAAAACTTTTGGATTTATATAGTAGCATGTACCCACTTACCCTATTGTTTCTAGTTTAAAGAAGGAAGAATAGTCTGAGAGCGAGTGGTCAAACCCATTTCCACTTAAATGACCTTAAAAAAACTTGTATCTACGCTACAGCCACTCACTAAATGATGTGCTTCTGTGTCATAAACCTGACTACAGAGAAACTAAAGAATTTCAGGTTGAGTGATACAGAAATACTACAGAAAAAGATTTGGGAACTAATGAACCACAAACTGCATGAGTCAACAGCATGATAGTGTTATGAAAAAGGCATATATCATTTGGAGTTGTATTAAGAGAATATCATATACAAGATGAAACATATTTTTTCTCTATTAATTATGGGTGAAGCATATTATAGTCAGAGTACATCTTAAGTACGTAATCAAACTAGTAGGAACATTTCCAGA